GTGTAAATAACTGGGAGGTATAGTAGCCCATCAACAATCCCAGTGCTTGTGAGGTGGAGACGGGATCACTGGAACAAGCTGCATAACCAGAATAATGGAATCAAAGGACTCTGTACTTGTTAAGAGACCTCAACTCAATAATTAAAGTAGATCATGATCAAAGACACTTGATATCAAACTCTTGCATCATAAGCCACATTTTGCGGTGACTTTTGTCTTGAACTAGCCGTGATTGGTTTGTACTTTCCAGGGTAGGGGTGTGTGGATTAGAAACATTAAATAGGAGGAATGGAAATATGAAAGAAACGCAGAGACACAGGATAGTACTGGGAGGGCAACTCAAGTGTATACTGAGTACTGAATCTGCCCACATTTATTTTTCATATGCGTTTATGCCCCAATGCAAAAAAAAGGGAGGGGGAGAAAGCAAAACCTGCTTTAACACGACACAAAGGACAGCTGGAACAGTTACTTGCTTCAATACTTGAAACGTCAGGCCACTATTTCCTGAGTTCAGCATTCTGATGTTTTGGGCAAGATATGCAGTGAATATACCCTAGACCAAGTATCTTGTAGGCAGCCACTCCCTATATCAAATGCTCCTATTTTAAAATGAAGAAGCAGGAATAGGCTTGAATTCTCTGACCTTTGGTCAGAATGGAGCAGATCCACTTTGGTGGTCCATTTTAATGTCTAAAACACTAAGTAAGCACAGCCTAGGTCAGGGTGTGTAGCCACACCTGTTGTCAACAACTTTGAAAGAGCAAAAATAAGCTCAAACTCTCTGACCTCCAGTCAAGGTAGAGAAGGGTCGCTTCTGAGGGTCCCCACACTTTTGTGTCCACCAGCACATACATGTACTACAGATACTAACCTACATACATGTAAACAGACATACACATATGCACACATAACATATACATATGCAAAACAGAAATAAAATTATGTCATGTGCAACTTACAATCTATGATGCTTTAGTTTAATAAGTATTTTTTTCCTTTTATTAGGCCATCTTTTGCTATTTAATTTTTTCCCTATGATTTGGGCATCTGAAAAACAGTATCATCTTTAATCTTTGCAAGGTCTTTATCTGAGGTAAACTCCATCAGTTTGAGGTTATTGTATTTCTCAAACCAATATATTCTTGCCTCCTCTCTTTCTACTGCCTTCCCATGAACTGTGTCTCAGGCATGCTTTCCTTTATCACCTGGGGGCTCTAAACTGGTGGCATGCCCATTGGCAGTCCAAGTATGACAATTCAGAAACACTAGTCAGGTATCCCAAACAAACCAGAAAATTTTATTCTTACCCAATTTGTTTCATTGAAAAGAAGGAGGCTGTCTTTGATGACCCTGACCAACAGGTTGCTTTTCAGCAACAGGTTGCTGAGAAGGAAGGTCCAGGGGATCAGAGATAAAGAAGATGAAGGTAACCTTTGGAGGAGTTACAGAAGTTGTGCTTTATTCCAAGCAAAGTTATTAAGAGATACAGCATCTTATACACTATTTGTAGGGGATAAATGGGACAGCGCCGGAAGAAAGCTAACATACAGTGGGATGGAGTCAGTTGGAAGCTAACCAAACAGTGATGTGCAAAGAGAACATGAGTATTGAAAGCATGGCAGACCAAGAACACAGTGGGCTCGGGACTGACAGCTCCAGTCTTTATACGGGAAAATCCAAGTTCCCAGTAAGACCTTTCCAGCCCTATCACCAGCCCCAGACTAGCCTTTCCAAGTTCATCCTTGGCAACAACACAGGATTAGTTCCTTTTGCTCTTTCATCAGGGCCTCTGAGAAAGCCTTGGACACTGGTGATTTGAGAGAAAAGGCCCCCAAAGGGAGTGGCACTATTAGGAGGTGTGACCTTATTGGAGGAAGTGTGTCACTGTAGGGGCAGGCTTTGAGGTCTCTTTTGCTCAAACCTTCCTCAGTGTGACTTAGAGTTGGCTTCCTGTTCCCTGCAGGAATCTCTCCACTGCATCCACCTGCACGTTGCTATGATCCCATCATGATGATAATGGACTGAACCTCTGAAACTGTAAGCGAGCCACCACAATTAAATGTTTTCTTTATAAGAGTTGCTATGGGCATGGTGTCTCTTCACAGCAACAAGAACCCAAGCTAAATTAGAAGTAGATTGATCTGTCTCTCAACAGTGTGGGAGGTTTCCTCCTAGGTCTTCTGCAGGATGAAGCAGGAGAGAGCTGCACCAGTTACCTACCCTCTTCTCTGTAATGCATCTCCTTGGCTTTAAAGTGGGCTCTGACTGCACCCTCCCAGCTAGTCTCCAGACTTCTCACTGAGGTGCTCTGGTCTGTGTGGCAGTGCCTAAAGCAATGCCTCTGTGGAGAAGGAGGAGGTTTTGTTGTGTCCTGGTGAGCCATTCTTCGTGTCACCCACTCCTTTTACGATCTTTCCTGACAATTATTACTTTCTGGCTTTAATTTTTACCTTCTTGCTTAACATTATTATTTTATTACATTCATTTTCACATTAGAGAGTATGATTTCTTGTAGTTTACACATTTTTATATACATCCAAACTTCCATTATTAATCTGGATGGGTTTGGTATGAAAAGAGGCTTCAGGTTAAAACTTGTCTTTATTTCTTCTTGAGACACTCAATATAGGTTTTACTGTTGCCACACTCTGAAATCCTGTCACTATTTGACTTACTTTGATTTAGTATCTCATATTTGTATGTAACACCATGTAGTAGTCTTTCTCACACATTGTCTTTCTGTCTGTCCCTCTCCATCTATTTCATTGTGATAAGACCAAGGTAATTCTGAATTCTGATCTATCTATCTATCTATCTATCTATCTATCTATCTATCTATCTATCTCTAAGATATTCTGGCAATCAGGTGGTCAAAAGACATCATTAGCACAGCTAAATTCTCTAAAAGTGCAGTCTCAGGAGGGTTTTATTTTTATCTCTATGATGATGACTGTATACCTGTACAGTAATTGGTGCTGTTTCTGATATTCTGTAACTCACAAGTGGTCAGTTTACTTCACACTCTTGTGGACAAATGATACTTATCTCTGGTTGTTTTTTCACTTAGTTCACACTTTGCGGCATAGAGGCATCTGTAAGCATCTTTACAAGAAATCTTTTCTTAGCTGAAATCTGCCATTCTTGGCAGAGCTATTGTGGATTTCTAGTAGCTACAGACAGGTTAGATCTTACAGCTGAAGTTCAGTGTCCTGACAGCATCATTTGACTCTTCTCCTCAGAGCATCAGACTTCTCTTTGCTCTAGTGATATTTCTTGTTCATTCCACAGGAATGTTTACTTAAATGTGTTCCATGAATGAACTAAACGCTGGAATGTTTATTCACACATTTCCTGTGTAAGGGCATGCTATCTTGACAAAAGAAGGAGTTTATGTGGCAGGAACATGCATCATTATCACACTTTCAGGTAATTATAATATAATAAACCCTGAGATTCTTATATAATATACATTGAAATTTCTGTCTGCTAGAGTTAATAATTTTTCTAGAAATTTTTTTATAGAATCACTCAAGATGGACAACTCTGGAGAGTCTTGTACAGTTGTTGAAATCTTAGGTTCAGTTGAAGAATAAGGCAGAACCCTGAAGCATGATCAATAAAATTCAGAGACCATTATTGGTGTTTAACCTGAAGATCCAAAAGCAAAGAGCCAGATACTGGCTCTTTCCTCAGCCTCAGTCCAAAATGGTGATCCTCCAGGAATCTCAGAATGAGACTTTAAGAACTGTCTCCTGCGATTTTATAATCCTCTCTAGGGCTGAGATTAAAACAGTGGACCACTGGGATTAAAGGCATGCACCGCCTGCTTTCTATGGCAAACTAGATTGGCTACTGGGATTAAAGGTGTGTGTTACCACTGCCTGGTCTGTAAGGCTGTCCAGAGGATCTGATTTACTCTCTGATATTCAGACAAGCTTTATTTATTAAAATACAAATAAAATGCCACTACAGAGCCCTATGCTAGGCATTGAGTAAAATGGTTGTCATCAAAGAGTGGCAACTGCAGAGTTTTCACTGAGTCTTATGTTCATTGTGAGACCCTAACATATGCTTCCCCTCGCTTTGTAATCATCAGTGGTCCTAGGAAATGAATGTGCTCTCCATGCCATGAGTGTGCACCTGACTCCTGGAACTCACAGTCTGTAGACTGCTGCCATGGTCATGTAATTGTGAGCACCTCGTACAATTCCACTCCGACCACAGAAAGTGACTTTAAGGGAATCCTCGTTTTTCTTCTTCTTTTTCACTTGTGATATGAGAACATCTGACTTGGAATTTGTGGTCCTTGCTCTAAGGCTCTAGGCCTGAAAGTCCTTGGAGGAGTTAGCACATCCCATAGACCCATGTCCTTTTCTCTCTGTAGCTCTGACAGGTGAAGTCCTTAACTGAGGCGAACATTGCTACATCTGCGTTCACCTAAGGACAAGGCTGAAAGATGTGTGCTTCCCTCCTCACTGATTTTCCTATTGTGTCCATCATGGGTTTCTCTTAATTATTAATTTTTACAAATCCACATTCACATTTTCATTTCCACATTTCACAGCTTCCTTCACAGCAGGAATGTTTCAGGAGGGTTTTATAGCTTCAATTCTTGTCAAATAGAAAAGACGACTTTCACATGTTTTTATTTTCACGACATGGCACAGAACATTTCCTGGGAGTGCAGTGGGGAGGAGTCCTCAAATTTTAATTTAATATTGATTGCTTTGTTTGCTTGTGCCGGGGAAAAGTAACTGAAGACAGATGATTGAAGGAAGAAGAACCAGAAGTTCAGAGTAGATTACGTGTTGCGTCTTCTGTTTGAAAGATAAGAACTTGGAAACCATGTGATCACAGTGGACGCCATGTTCAGTAACTGTGGAAAAAAACCCTAGCTTCAAGTGTGGGCACAGAGCAGAGTGCTCATAGAGGATTTCCTTTTGTCATTTGACCTCACAGAACTTGTCACAGTTCACAGTTTGCATCTCAAGCTTACAATGGACACATTGAGAGTCTGTGGCGATGCAAAGACCTTGAGGACCCCAAGGCACAAGCGTGTGTCAACCCCATCTCTTCCCCCAGGTAAGTACTTGGATATATTCTAGAATTAAGATTCCCATTATGTTTCAGTTTTAACAGTTTTAACAATTTTGCTTGGGATGGTGAGATGAGTCTTCAGGCAAATCACTTGCTCCAAATACCTGACATCCAGAGTTCTATTCCCAATACCTTTGGTGGAAGAGAATCATCTCCTGAAAGTTTTTCTCTGACCTCTACATCTAGTGTGGCACCCATATGCCTGCAGTCACACATAGGCACACACACACACACACACACACACCTGCAGTTACATGTACACTCATACACACACACAATTCTCTCTCTGTCACACACACACACACTAATGAACTAAAAAGTTATTTCTCTGAAGCCGTGCTATTTTTAGTATTGTTGATTAGTGTAGGACAGCTTGCCTATAGACAACTACAACATCGGGAAGAAAAAGCATACACACTGCCATTTTGTATGACTAGCCTTCATGAAACGTGAGCAGGGCTTCTCCTATTCAGTGTTAGTCACAAGACCCCGAAGAAATAATATTTTTCATATATGAACAGAAAAATGTTTTTTGAGACACTGCAGACTGGTCCATTCTAGTACAGAACAAACACTTGAACTCAGTCCTACTGCACTTGCACCCCTGGCAGTCAGCACTGGGTAAACCAGCCCTCTCCTCTCCTAGAGAATTCAGTAATTGGAGTGAAAAAATGTGGAAGACTGGGGTAATGCTCAGAGGATAACATGGCAGAGGGAGGTAGAAACTGAGGTAGAAAATGTGTCAAATTTTCATGAGAAATTATTGCATTCTATGATCTAATTGACCTTACTAATATCAACAACATTGCAACATTTTCAATTTGACATTATTTCTACATGTTGGAAGCTATGTGATTATCAACATTTTAAGATTTTGGATTAGGAACTATTAAATTATAAAAGTTAAGGTCAAAACAAAAACAAAAAAACAATAAAAAAGAAAAGTGTGTTTATAGGGTTATATACTGTGAACAATCATTGATGATACTGGTCATTCAAAAATTTAATCTATTGCTTTGGACAAACCTCTCATAGTCATTATGTAATAGGATGATGCCATGAAGGAAAACATTGCATTGACAGGCTTTGAACTCTGCCACAAGGAATCAATAGAACTATCATGTTACTGTTCTTCCTAAAATTTTAATCACTTTTCTGTGTAGTAATTAAAGTCTGTCAGTTATTTCAATGTTATGTAAAAATTAATGACAATGTTTAAAATGTAATGTATAGTATGGCATAATCTGTGTGAGATACAACTGCCCATTCCTCTAATTATATTATTGGATACAATGTATCTCTCCTGATGTGAGGTGCTGTGTCCTGAGTATACAAACTTGCTTTTCACTCCCTTTATCTCTCCTTCTGTCCCTCCTTCCCATTCTCCCTTCCCTCCTTCTTCTTTCCCTCTTTAACTTTTTCCCTCATTCCTTCCTTTGCTTTTTGCTCTCCTATTTCCTTCTCTTATTTCTTAAAGGTAGTTCACATGTATTTAGGAAAAATTTTCTTTACTTATACACCCAAACTTCAAATGCCAAATCATTTGGTGATTTAAAGCAAGCAAATAATTTAAAAAAAAGTTAAGGTCAGGGAAACAGAATCATCAAATCTGCTTCTTTGTCATCTTCACATCAGGGTCAGGGGAAAGTGGAGGCTTTGAAACTGCTGGAAGGATTCTTTTTGCTGGTACGATTGAAAGAAACACGCTTTTATTTTCCTGTGTTTAAGTCTAGCAAAATGATGGGGAAGGCCTTGTTTAAATGGATATGAGAAAATGAAGGTTGAGAAAGACAATGAGATTTCCTCAACACTACCCTCCATGATTCCAAACCAAGAGACCAGAAAATTTGTTCACCCTCATTATGATTACCCTAGAAAGCATTAGCTTGGACATGAACCCAAAGGACAAAAGCAGTAGAATAAAGCCAGAGCAAAGCCCGTGAAGGGAAAACACTGACTCTGTAGTGAAGGAAATGAAACAGCCTTGACCAATTAGCTAAACAGCTCAAAATTGCAGGTAATTCACAGCATGGTGATTAGATCTCCCAGTGAACCAACAAACAAATACAGAAAGAGGGACATGGACTGTGACCTGCTTTGTAGCCAAATGATCAAAAGTTTGCTTTGATAGTAGGGTGGCTAAAAAGGTGCACAGAGATCATGCATTCACTCAGAAATGAGCCCCTACTATGTGTCAAGCACTGATCTGGATGATGATGATCATCTTAGAACCTGTAGGTAATCTGGAGATTATCTAAAGCACACAGGGATAAGCACACAGGTCCTGTGCAAATAACACATTTTATAGAAGAGATTTGATCTCATATGCAGAGGTTTTATAAGCAAGCTTCTGTGGACAGTGAGCAATGCTGTGTGGTCAAAGGTGACACAAGATTGTCACGGAAGGAAACACACAGGCATTGAGCCTGAGGAATGAGATCCTGTGCTATCATTTCTGCCTTGTAGGACATGTTGTGTTATGGGACAAGGTTCCTAGAGATACTCAAAATATGAGGAGACTAATGTATTTAAAATAGCCTAGAATTTCTCCTGAACACTAGTTTAGCATAGAGTGACAGTCCATTAAATAAGCCTAACGAGTCATGTTTCTTGTTTCGTATTTGTGTATTATTTCATATTTCTGCCTTTTCTCACTCTTTCTACTCTTGAAATCCAATTTTTGTAAAATAGAGAAAAATTCATGCAGTCATTATTTTGATGATTTTTACAAAGTCTAGTATTAAGAACACTCATGTTTTAAATTTTCATTATATAACATTAAATAATGCAGTACAACATAATATTGGATGTAAACATAATTTTCTTTGGGACACCAACTCACAAAAAATGACTTGGAGACTTCTTGTTATTTTGAAATATTGTCCTATAGCTTATGCTTGTTCCTAACCAGCTCTTATAACTTACATTAACCCATTTATATTGACCTATGTTTTTGCCTCATGGCTTTTTACCTCTCTCATCTTACATCTTCTGTTTCCTCTCTGTCTGACTGGCGACCCTGCTCTTATTCTTCGCCAAGTCCACTCTGTACCCAGAAGTCCCACCTAACCCTTTCTTGACTAGCTAGTGGCCATTCAGCTCTTTATTAAACCTATCGTAAGGCACCTTGGGCAGAGACATATTTTTACAGTGTACACAAATATTCCATAATTTTCTTTTAGGGCTTGGCTCCAGCATCATCTCAGAGGAAGGCCTGCCATGATCACTCTGCTTGATGTGATGCCATCTCTAAAGGCAAAATCTTAATTTCCATTTAAGTGTTTCCTTGTTGGCATCCAGCATGCTATGTTCTCTGAGGCAGGTGTTAATATCTCACTGACTCCGCACCTACAGTCAGAAACCCTACAAAGAAAAGGACTCTCTCTCTCTCTTTCTGTGTGTGCAGTGCATGCACACACACGTGTTTGTGTGTGTGTGTGTTTGTGTGTTTGTAAAACAGTACACATAGAGTGTCGCACTAACTAAAGTTTTAGTCAATCTACTAGGAATGCAGAAAAGAGTCTTTGAAGTTAAGGGGTCTTATGTAGTTGAAAAATCACCTTTGATTTTTATCTCATGTATCTTTCCTCGAGTGCATTTAACAAGTGTTTATGTTACACTTCTTAGATACATATCAGTACCAACACTGGCATCCGTTGGCTCTGAAACTTGGCTGTGCTGGGCTGATCGTTCTTTTCTTGAGCCTGATTGGACTCAGTGTCTTAGGTAAGTGAAGTAAGAGCCTTAGCTTCAGAATTTTCCCTAATAAACTTATAAGTCCTCTTCATAGCATTTCACCTCTTTGAGACTAGCGGGGAGGTCAATGACACTGAATGCTACAGGACAACATTCCTTGTCCACTATAGAAACTTCACATTGTTCCTGTGCTTCTCAATTTTCCTGAGAAACATGGGGTGTGTCATATGTGTATCTAGAACTGCAGAAGAATATGTCACAAGTGTGACAAAAATGTGAAAAAAATCAAGGAAACCAAAAAGTCCCCATATTTAGCTTATTACATACCTCCACCTTCTCTTGCGATGGGAGTGATTGAAGAAGTGCAAACTCAGGTGTGACTGTGAGCACCCACAAATTGACCTGTCCATCAGACCATATGCAACCTTAGAGCTGCCATGTATTCTGTGCTTTTCTGGTTCATATAGCCCATCTCCATGCTTGTCTCAATCCAGTTTGATGATATTTTTTCTCAGTCCATATGCTCAGATTTTTTGCAATAACTTGATTTTCTGAAGTGAGAAATATTGTTTTATCTGCAGCATAGTGGCTGTTCCTTAAACTACCAATGCCTCAGCTCCTGACTACACCTTTGCAAACACCACCTCGCTTTTGAGACTGTGACCCGGGGGAGGTTTCATGTCCCACTGCCCATCCTTGCCACAACCTTAACCACTTCCATGTAGGGAGGCAAATGTTATTTCTGACTAAGACTCTATCTTTTTATTTTACCAGTGAAGATTTTGGAGTCAGATGCTGGCATGAGACCTGCCAGCTCAGAGAGGCAGAGAAAGCAACTGGCTCATCTTCCTTCTCTGCTGTTTGCTGTGGAAAATTTCTGTATACTATGTGAACATTTGTCACCATGATTAGTTTAATAAAGAGCTGAATGGCCAAAGCTAGGCAGGAAGAGGTTAGGTGGGACTTCTAGGGGGCAGAGAGGTCTCAGGGAAGAAAAAAAGTCAAAGTCACCAGCCAGATGAGGAGGAAGCAGGATGGACAGTACAGAGTAAAGGTTACCGAGCCTCATTAAAAAATGAAGATTAAAAAATATTCAGGAATCTCTTTCTGAAGGGAAAAAGGGTGTATTTTATATGAAATGATGGGATAAAAGGGTAGATTGTTGTGTCTACTTTTGAATAACCACTAGTCTCAAATATTTTACATTAGTCTGGATTCTTGTTTGTTGATACAAAGCCAAGCTTATTTTAGTTATACTGTATATATTTTCTACTCTTGTTTAAGGTATTATATCTATACATTTCATTTAAAAATATAATGTAAAGTATTAGTTCTTGAAAGCTATTTATGATAATAAAAAGACATGTTATTAGTCATATATAAAAACCAAACTTATAGTCAAGTTAGGTATAGTTTCAAGATCATACAGAGATATTTTAGATAGATAAGTGATCTTCAAACTCTTCAAAGATCTATTAGAATATGCATTTAAAATGTTTTAATAGCATAAGGCTTTTCATGACAGTGAGACACACCTACTCCTGGCAACACTAATTTACTTCAAAAGGGGATGATGGACATAGAAGAACCTTCATATGAAGTTTGCTTTTTTGTGGCCAAAGCTAGCCATTTGGGCAAGAAATTGTCATTGCCCTGACTTATGACATTATGCTGCCCAAATTGGACAAGCAGGACACAAAAGAAAGCAACTGACGAATGTCAGTCCTTCAAAAATTCTTGCTTCAGAGAAAAGTCTGTCAAATATTCTAGGCCTGTAGGCCAAAGATGGATACCCAATGTTATAGAAGAACCTTGGGTTTCTGTCTAGGCTGGCAGCTGTTTCTGTCATTTCAGTAGGTTTGGTAATTGCTTGGTCTGTACATCTTGTTTCTTCAGGTAATACTATATCCTTCTTGGGTGTCTGACAGAGTTGAAGAGTAGACAGTTATAGTTACAGTTTTCTTTTTTACCAAATTCAAAGAAGACACTAACAAAAGAGGTATAAAATGTATAAGGTTGAGAGCCATAAAAGCTTAAATTGTTTATCAAAAAAATGTTTTGAGGTCCAAAAAGATAGTTTTCAGATGGTCATACAAGTTATGATAGAAAATGGTTTAGGTATAAAACTTTAAATTCATCAAGATAAGATGCATTTATCAAGATAAGGTAGGGCATTTTCTTCAAATGAACATTGTGTATGCAGTTCTTACCTGATCATTGTTCTTATTATTTATAGTTTTAGTATGTTAGAATTCAGGTCTTTCCCTTTTATTTAGACAAAAGGGTTAAATGTTGTGGAATATTCCTTTACATGGTGTGAAGATGTGTCACTGTGACATATTGAGTGGTTTAATAAAAAGCTGAATTGCCAATAGCTAGGCAGGAAGAGGTTAGGTGGGAATTCTAGGGACACAAGGTCTTGGGGATGAAGAAAGATAGAGTCACAAGACAGACACAGAGAAAACAAGATGAACATCACAGAGTAAAGGTAATTGGCCATGTTAAAAAACAATATCAGATTTTAAAATGTGGGCTAATTTAAGTTATAAGAACTAGATAGGAACAAACCTAAGCTAAGGAAGAGCTTTCATAATTAATAATAAGTCTTCATTTCATTATTCGTGTGCTGGTGGCCCATCGAAAAAGCCTGCTACAGCTATTGTCCCAGCAATAGTTTCTCCTACACCAACTGAAACAAAATCTTCTCCACTATGATGTGGTCCTTCCCTTCTACTTCCTGTGCCCCCCCTCCTCAGCTCCTGACTTTCCCTAACTTTCTGTGGTTATTTCTAGTCAACTGGTTATTTGGTCCACCTCGTGACCTACAGTTGATTTTATTTAAACAATTCAATCTTTGTGTTCACAGTATGATCAAATATCCTGCGACAGAGAAACAGAATACACATTCCACCATTTGTTTCAGTATTTAATTCTTTCTATGTGTTTTCTTATTTAATAGTGCGATTCTTAGTGCAAAAATCACCAACAGAAAAATACAGTGTGACTGTTCAAGAGAACAGGACTGAATCAACAGGTAATTGCGTGGCTTGAATTTCCCGAGAATAAGAGGTGATTTTTGATATATACTGTGAGTTACTTCAGTCAAAGTTCACAATAGCCCTCCATGAATCATTATATCACTATGTTTGTTTTTCTGAGAAAACAACTATAAAATGTTAGGAACTCATGAAGAGTTGTACAGTTTATAATTATTGATGCTGGGAACTGCATAGAAGCTCTGTGACCTTGATATCTCTCATCTTAGTCCCTTGACCATGCTGCTGATACACATGATCCTTAAAAGGCAGACATCAAGTTAAAAGTGAAATATTTGATTATTTTAAGGAACATGCTGTACAGTTTACTTTGAAGTTAATTAATAAAAACAAAATATAAAATGAATCTTTTGTCATTAATTATGATTCCTTGCCATATGAGAGCATTTATCTTGTTCCAGTATGAGCTAATGAAGCAACTACTGTGTGAAGCTGTCATGTATCAGGAACAGGACCGGAATAGAACATGTCTTGTTTTTCACTCTAGGAAGATCAGTCATACTAAAGTGTCCGAGAGATTGGCATCCATACCGGGATAAATGCTTACATCTTTCTCAAACTTCTGGACCTTGGTCTGAAGGTCTAACTTATTGCTCTGTGAAAGAAGCCACTTTACTGCTCATTGAAAATGAAGAAGAATTGGTAAATTGCTCAGTAGAACATATAACACTTCTATTAAGCTATGTTGATACCTCTGGACTTTAAACAACTATGCTAAGGAAGTGGAGACTTAGATTTTAAATATCTTGTAATCTGAGAGACTAATTGGATTTATGATTTAATAACTGAATATAGTGTGATGAGTCTATTAAAAGTATAAATATATAGAGATGAATTTCACAAAGAAGAGAAAATTTACTGCTGGGCAGTTAGGATAGACTTGAAATAGAAGTAACAGTTTTAGAAGGTTGGCAGAAAAAAGTAAGTCACAAGTTAACATTGTGGATTAAGTCTTTCTTTCTGTTTTGATTATAGAGATTCATTCATGATTTCTCAAAGAGAAAAAGACAGCAGTTTTTTATTGGACTAAACTATGTACCACTGGAGAAAGCCTGGAAGTGGATAAATGGCTCCATATTAAATCCTGATTTGTAAGTATTAAAAGGGCTGATCTGAATATTCAATTTACATCCATGTCACTGAAAATTTAATTTTGTAATTTTAATTAAGTATATAAGTATTTGAGAGGGTAAGAATAGGCTGAAAAGACAGTTCCAAGGTTGGTTGTACTTTTTCATGTTTAAGTAGACATCAACCATTTATAAGAGAGTGTGTGTATGCGTGTGTATGTGTGAGAGAGTGTGTGTATATGTTTGTATTTATTTTCAAAGGAATTTTAAAGGATAAGGAATAGATTAACTTCTTAGGGTTGGAGATAAAAGAGATAAAAAATATTTTAAAATTTCTATCTGGATTACATAGGTTTTTCTTGCTTTTCCCACTTTTCTACTTCCTACATTTACACATAATTTAAATTTTTTCTTTTATTTGTTTTATTTTATATGTGGGTGTCTGAGTGTATGTATGTGTACTATGTGCATGCAGAAGCCTACAGAAGTCAGATTCCCTGGAACTGGAGTTACAGATGGTTGTGAGCGGCCATATGGGTACTAGAATTTGAACCTGGATCCTCTGCAAGAGCATTGGTCATCTCTCTAGGCCCCTACACAATAATTGTTAAGCAAGACTTTAGAACTGTGGCAACAAAGTTGCAGCATAGCATATCATGAACTTACTTTCTCTAGGCAGAATCAGTATAAACATTGCTGTTTAAAAACATTCTCATACGTAGTAGGGGTTCATTTGTGTGTGTATGTATGTCTCTTCCTGTGTATTTCTTAATATGATATAATGCAAAATGCTTACTTAATTTTGATTCACAGTAAATATATGATTATAAGTGGAGATAGCTATGTAAGGCAAAGGATTTTTAGCTCAGTTACTGTGTGATTTTACTCTTTGGATAAAAGGATACTCTGATTAGACATCAGTCACCAGGTACATTTGGAAGCCATCATGCTACAATGGAAAGTGTCCATCAAACCGGCTTTTGTTTTAACTGGACTGAAAAATGGCTCTGGGTAAAATCTCTAGCTTTGTAAACTTCCCAGTTCAGTCCACAGAACCCATATAAAAAGCCAGATTAAGAGATACACATCTGTATCCCAGTACTCCTGCAGAGAGATGGGAGGTGCAGACAGAGGAATCATTCAGATGCTCCTTGACCAGTAAGCCTGGAGTACACAGCTGTTGTATAGAGGCTGCTTGTTAATTTCCTGGCCTCTCGGACCCCTGAAATAACCACACAGAAACTGTATTAATTAAATCAGAGCTTGGTCCATTAGCAATAGCTTCTTATTGGCTAACTCTTACACCTTAATTTAACCAATTTCTATTAATCTGTGTATTGCCAGGTGGCTGTAGTTTACCAGCAAAATTTTGGTATGTCTGTCTCTGGCGGCAGCTCCATGGCTTCTCCCCAACTCCGTTTTCTTTCTCCCAGCATTCAGTTTCGTTTTCCCCACTGACCTCTGTTCTGCTCTGCTATAGGTCCAAAGCCGTTCTTTATCAACCAGTGGTATTCACAGCATACAGAGGTGAATCCCACATCACACAGCACAGTGGCAGAAACAAGATAGAAAGGGAGGCTCCTCCCAAAATTTTCCTCTGACTTTTACACAAGCTCTGACCCTTCCTTGGTCCCTTCCTTTTCCCCACTCTCTCTCTCACATACACAAAGTAAATATTTATTTTAACTCCCAGAGCCCTGGTCTTCTGATAAAGAAACTTGGGGAAACAGAGGCAAAAAGTAAAAATTTTGCAAACAAGATTATTTTGGGAATTAAGTGATATTATGTTAGATCCCTCACCAGAAGTCTGGCTGGCGAATCCCCGGGAATCCATCAAAGACTTTTTGAAAATAATTCATTGATTTGAACAGATTGGCCTTAAGAAAAGGCTCTCGAGGACTGAAGAAAGGAGCTAACGGATGAAAAAAAAATAGGGACATTTGCAGAAGCCCAGCAGACGAAAGCTCATAGTTTGATTAGCATGCTGGCCGCGAGGGTGACATCAAATTTGCTGCTTAGGGACAAGGGACTCCAAGAAGAAATGATGAGAGGCAAAGGTCAGCTGTGAGGGAACCCTGCCTACTTCCTGATAGGTGACATCCTCCATTCAAGACAGGCTACTCTTGAACTCACCCCTTCCTTTAATCACCCCAGAAGATGCCTGTGTCTGTGCGTGACTTCTGGTCATTCCCACCTCCAGTGATCCCAGGAACCCTGAGTGTGGGACTAGTGTTATGATAATGCAAAGACCCACCAGTTCTGGGTTGAGACAGGTTGAGACAGGTTGGAACTCCATTTCCGCATAAGCTGAAGTTCTTTACTTCTCTGCATCCAATTTGGTAGACCCACTATGTTCACTCTGTGTGTCGAATACATTTACAGAGCACCCACTCTGTGTAAATGTTGTCATGCATCCATGCATACCTCAGTGACTTCTCCAAACAGCAACTGTACCCTAAATTATACACTAAATATTTGAGAAATCCGTAACTCACTAAAATGAAGATGCTTCTCACATGGTCACATGCATGTTAGTAGTAGAACAAGGAGTTTTCAGCCCCCAATTCCCAAACCTCCTTTTTCTACATTATTATGAAGGTTCTTGCTGTTAGAGTTCTTCTCCTGTGAGGGCAAAACTGAAAATTATAGCATTTCTATCAGCTGTATTTATAATGTTTACATGTGTTTCTAATGTTTGTTACTGTGTTTACTGTGCTTAAACACTATGAAATCTACAGCATCCTTAAAAGTCCAGAGAAAATCAATGGCTGATGTGGATAATTGTAAGAAAACTCTAAACACTAGTAGCAGCTATTCTTTGCTCTTTAGATTAAGAATCATGGGCACTGAAGAAGAAAACAGCTGTGCAGTCATCTCACAGACAGAAGTGTTTTCTGACTTCTGTTCTTCAGACAACCGCTGGATCTGCCAAAAGAAACTGAACCATGACTGTAATCCTTGTCCTGACTCCTGATTGTGAATGGTATCTTGATTCCTTTGCCTTCCATATGAGATTGCTGCACTGAACTGTCAAGGCTGTCGTTCCTCGGCCCTCCCAGTGCAGTTAGTGACACAAAACATGGACTCCAAACCACTGTGACTCCTACAGGTGCTCACTCCCATGTCTTTATTCTGTAACCAATGTTTTTATTTTATAAATGTAAATGCACACTGGTACAGATGTGCCATTCTGAGAGAGGTGTTCTGTAGAAGAAAGTCCAGGACAGCAGAGGGCGCTGGAGGACTTGTGTGGCCCTTGCTGATCTCTGTCCACGAGGTCATCTTGCAGACAGCTGCAGAAAATTGTTTGCAAAATCCTGACTCTACACTCTATTCCAAGCTATCTTACAACCTTGATTAAATGTTTGACCTTGACACCAGAGCCTCATAGTTAAGGATCTAGGGAAGGGAAGAGTTTGGTTTGATTGACACATCCAAATTAACCAAGTCAATAATTAACTAATGTTGTGATAATGAGAGTGATTCTAGGTAAAATGAGCTCTGTCCATGTGATGTCTCCCACGCTGTGGTGTTATTGTACCAGTAGACTCTGGGTAGATGCTGGTGCATTGACTCTGGGCTTGTCAGTCTCCAGAGCTGTGAGACAAGAGGGTCTCTTACCCTCCAATTTCTTGTTAAGGCAGCAAAAAATGGACTAATACAGGGACTTGTCTCTTCCCACTATTTCAAAAGCCTTCCCATTTTAATTTTCTCATCACTTCTTTCTTCTGCACCTCTCTATAGCTTATGACATACTGTAGAAAGTATGCAGCTAAATATTTGGTTATTTTAGTATAAAATAAATGACATCTTTTCAATCTTCTTTTAGAGAAATTAAAATAAATATTTATTCTGATAAATATTCTGGATGTCTGCTTTTATTTCTTACTCTCATTGGTTTTGGCTTTTTGAGACAAGGTGTCTCTGTGGAAAGCTCTGGTGTCATGGAACTCACTTTAGAGACCAAGCTGGCTTCAGACCCACAGAAATCCACTTGTTTCTGCCTCTCGAGTGTTACTAAAGGCGTGTGCCACTACTCTCTGACTCAGATATCTACTATTCTAAAAAAAAAAAGTATTGCCATATTTTCCAATGTAATAGTTTGGTATTCAAGCCTGCCCTCTGCCAATTACCAAACAAGAGAAGAGATGAATATGTTGAGGATATGAACTAAAGGAAAACTGCCCACCTTGGTGGGAATAAAAATTAACATGGTTGTTATGGAAAACAGCATGGAATTCCTCTCCTAAAAAATTAAAATGCATCCATTGCAACACAGAATAATCTCACTCTCCATATATACTGCTTAAAAATTCTGAAATGTTCTAGAAATCAATTTTTAAAGTTGACGGATGGGGGAGGTTTACAATTTTCCAAACTTTTACACTAAAGTAGTGTCTGTCTTTGATCTTGAGGTATGTTTCTTGCACCAATAAATAGATAGGTCTTATCTTTTAATCTAATCTGTCAGTCTTTTTTATTTGATTGGGGAATTAAAAGTTGTGTATTAGTTACTTTCATTTAGCAATATTGTTTTCTCCCCATTCATTTCTTAACCATTTTCAAACAGTGACCTCATGGATGTGTTTATCTTCATCTTCAGGCTAAAGAATTCCATTATATCTCTTCTGTGGAGCTTTGTTTGTTGTCAAGAATTTCTTAAGATTTTTTTCATTTTACTTATATTCATCAGAAACAATTTCAGTAGTAATGCATTAATACTTAGCTATTTGAGGCTTAAGGAATGTTTTAAATAACATTAATTAAACAGGGTGCTTGTTTTTGTTAAAAAGAGCGTTCAGGAAGTGCATTCATATCTATAGTGTAAACACCCCAGTAATAGCTTTTCTTGTCTAGTTTCGCCAATGTTTCCTAACCATGGGGGAGGGGAGACTAGTATGTGGTGTCAGCAAATATGAATAGATAAGGGTGTGAAGAAGAATAAGACTCATGTGGGTAACTTTTTTGGAGACATATTACAGAATTGTGACAGTTCATGTTGAATTTTTTCTGATAGCCTTCTTTTTTCCTTCACCCATTGGATATTTTAAATGATTGTTTGGAAACCCAACTCTAGGTGATAAAGCCATGGCTCAGTGGTTCAGAGCACTTGTCACTGTAGAGGAGGACATCAGCTCTGTATTAGTCAGAGTTCTCTAGAACAGCAGAATTTATAGTATGATTCCCTCTTCTATATATGTAGAAAGGGGATATATTAGAATGACTTACAGGCTATGGTCCAACAAATCCAACAATGCCTGGCTATGAATGAAAAGTCCAAAAATCCAGTGTTGGCAGTCCACAAGGCTGGATGTCTCAGCTGGTATTTGGTGGACACTGGAATAGTGAAGAAGTAGACTTTAATGCCAGTGAATAAATGGAACCACTAACAAGACTAGAGCAAGCAGGCTAAGAGCAAAAGCTTCCTTCTTTCATGTCCTTGTCTAGGGATGTGGGATTCTTCTCTGTGTGCTGTGAATACCATTAGTTAATAAAGAAGCTGCTTTGGGCCCATTGTAGCAAATTCCAAGAAACAGGTGGAAGGAGTAGGTGAAATCAAAGAGAAGCCATGTAGCCACAGGAGACGGAGGCTGGACACCGGAAACCAGATAACTGACGCTGGAAGCCAGACACCAGATGGAACTTTACTCACAGGCCACAACCATGTGACAATACACAGATTAATAGAAATGGGTTAAATTAAGATATAAGAGCTAGCAAGTAAGAAACATGAGCTAATAGGCCAAGCAGTGTTGTAATAATACAGTTTTTAATGTGATTATTTTGAGTCTGGGTGTCTGGAAACAATCACACAGCTTCTGCCTATGGGCTTCCAGCAGAAGGTGTGGCCCAGATTAACATCCAAATTAAAGGCACATGTCTTCCTGATTCAACAGTCCTGTTTAGAAGTGGATTTGCCCATTTCAAACCAAGCAAAAATCTCTCATAGGTGTGCCCTCCATTTCTGGTTTGTAGTTCATTTCAGATGTACTCAAGTTGACAATGAAGAATAACCATCACACGTTACATTCCCAGAACCCATGATGGCAACCCAAACACTTGTAACTCCACAGGACTTGATACCCTCTTCTGGATTCCTTGAGATCGTAATGCATGTGGTCTACATGTAAACAAATGTAAATCTTTAAGAAAAATTAAATCCAATTCTGCCCTCTATGGAACTACCTATGATTATTTCAGACTGGAGGAAATTCTGTTTGCAGTGTAGTCTCACTGAATGTCCAAATTTGGATACATACTTAGCATTAAGTATATTCTGAATCTTGTTTTATTTCTATTTTCTTATTACACTAAATGAAATGTGGTTCTTTAGGGTCAAATGTTGCATGTATTTAAACATTTCACACTACTTAACACTTACTTAGCATATAGTCAATTTGTTTGGTTGAGTTATATAATTTTCTAATTAGAATCCTTGGTAGTTAGCAGACAAAAATAACCCAGATTAATAACAAGAATGCAGCTCTGTTGAGTTGCCATTGCCCCTGCCGCACCTCAGCAGCCAGCCTAACTTTGTAACTTTGCTGTCGGGGATCTCCAGTGCAGCGTCCGCTCTCAGCATGATGGACTTGGAGTTGCCACCGTCAGGACTACAGTTCCAGCAGGATGTGAATTTGATTGACATCCTTTGGAGGCAAGACATAGATCTCTGGGTAAGCTGAGAAGTGTTTGACTTCAGTCAGTGACAAAAGGACTATGAGCTGGAAAAACAGAAAAAAAAAACGTGAAAAGGACAGGAGCAACTCCAAAAGGAATAGGAGAAGGCCGTTTTCACTTAGCTACAACTGGGTGAATAGACAGGAGAATTCCTTCCAATTCAGCCAGCCCAACACATCCCAACAAACAGTAGTGGATCCGCCAGCTATTCCCACGTTTCCAAACCAGATACCCTGTACTTTGAAGACTGCATGCACCTTTTGGCAGAGATTCCCATTTGTAGGTAACCATGAATCACTCCCCCTGGAGATCCCCAGCCACGTGGAAAGCCCAGTCTTCAGCAGTCTGGATCAGGCTCAGTCACTCGACAGCTCTCTGGAGACAATCATGACTGATCTAGACAGCACGCAGCAGGACATGAAGCAAGTTTGGCAGGAGCTTCTTTCCACTCCCGAGTTACAGTGTCTTAATACTGAAAACAAACTGTTGGTTGAGACTTCCACTGTTCCCAGCCCAGGAACCAACCTGGCAGAAATTGACAACAATTGCTGTTTCTATTCCTCCATCTCCCCGCTGGAGAAAGAAGTGGGCAGATGCAGTCCCTATTTCCTTCACAGTTTTGAAGATTCTTTCGGCAGCATCCTCTCCACAGAAGATGCCAGCCAGCTCAATTCCTTAGATTCAAATCCCACATTAAACACAGATTTGGGTGGTGAGTTTTATTCTTCTGCTTTTGAAGCAGAGGCCAGTGGCAGTAGCAGCGTGCCTTTCTCTGTCCCTGTCAGTCAATCACTCTCTGAACTTCTTCTGGCGGGCCTATTGATGACTGTGATCTGTCATTCTATAAAGCTTTCAGCCAGAAACATTCTGAGAGCACAGCAGAATTCAATGACTTGGACTCTGGCATCTACCTGAACACCGTCCTAGCCGAGCATCCCCAGAGCACTCTGTGGAGTCGTCCATTTACAGATACTTACTGCCTGGGCTCAGGGACTCTGAAATGGAAGAGCTAGATAGTGCCCCTGGAGGTGTCAAACATAATGGTTCTAAGACACAGCCAACACATTCTTCTAGGGGATCCGGTACAGCCTCTGTCACCAGCTCAAGGGCACCGTGTTCCTGTGCATGATCCGCATTGTGAAAATACAACAGCAAAAAAAAAAAAAAAAAAAAACGCCTGAGAGTCCTGGTCATCAAAAAGTCCCACAAAAGACAAACATTCAAACCAATTGGAGGCTCATCTCACGAGAGATGAGCTTATGGCAAAAGCCCTCCATATCCCATTCCCTGTTGAAA